TGGTGATGCCCTCGTCCGTCGATTCCTCCTTCCTCCTCCTCCCGCCAGCCCCCGGTGAGGCGGCCCCCCGGCCCCGCTCGGCCTCCAGCAGCATGTCGGCGGGGGAGGAGGACTTGGAGCCGTCCGACGTCCCCGGCTCCTTCCTGCCGCCTGCCTCCCGGGGGGCTTTGGCCTTGGGCTTCTCCGGCTCCTTCTTGAGGGGGGGTTTCTTGATGCTGCCAGCCTTGGCCAGGGGTTTGCGGGTCTCCGGGACCAGAGTTTTCCGGGCCGGGGTCTTGGCAGGAGCCTTGGCCTCTGCCTTGTTCTCCTTCGCGTCCTTCCGCAGCGTCTCAGCCTTCACCTCCTTCTTCGCCCCCTTCACCTCCTTCTTGGCCTCCCCCTTCACCTCAGCCCCCTCGTCCTTCTTCGGCAGCTTCTTCTCCTCTTTCCGGGGGACAGGCTCCTTCTTGGGCACCGCCTTCTCCTTGCTCAGCTTTGGCTTTGCGTCCGCCTTCAGCTTCTCCGTCGAAGAGTCCAGCTTGGCTCGAGCATCCTTGGCTTTCTCCTCTTCCAACCCCGCTCTGGCCGTCTCCCCCAGGGATTTTGGCTTCTCCTTGGTCCCTGCCTTCACCTCCTTCCTCTCCACCTTCGGAGCCTTCTCCTTCGGCACCGGTGCCCCAGTATCCACCAAGCTGAGCTTGGAAGCCGACTTCAGGCTCTCCTTGCTCTCTGCCCTCCTCTGCTTGAGCAGCTTCTCAGGTTGGGATGCCGGCGGCCCCTTCAAATCGTTCTTGGTGACCACGGGATACTTGAGGAACTCCAGGTGCTTCACCTTCTCCAGCCCCTCCAGGATGCGGCCCTGGGGCGTGCAGCCAGGGAAGAGGACCCGGATGATCTTCTCGGAGGGGCTGACGGGGTGCCAGACGAGCAGGGCGCAGACGGAGGTCAGGCACTGCAGGGGCAAGTCCTGCTCCTTGGGGTAGCTGTTGCCTGACCATTGCTGCAGGAGAAACTCCAGCTCCTTGGTGCCCTTCACGGGGTTCAGGACGTACATGTCCAGCCGGCCCACTCCCATCTTCTGGAAAAGGACGGTGGGCTCTGTGCGAGGTCCGCTGTCCCGGGACAGCGGGTTGGGACGGATGCCCAGCTTGTCCAGGTAGTGCAGGGTCAGGGCGGCCTCGTCGCAGCTCTTCAGCACCCGGGAGTTACCCTCGATGTCCTTCAGCTTCTCGGAGGCGTTGAGGAAGACGACGCCCAGCTCCGGGGAGATGAGGTTCTTCGCCCAGTCCCCGTTGCCCTGCGAGCTCTGGGACGGATCTTCCTCCAGCTCCGCCAGCTTCCTCTGGAGCAGGCTGTTGACGCCGGGCAGGCTGTCTGTGCCTGCGTGCGTCACCAGGATGGAGTCAATGCGGTCCAGGTGCCGGACCAGCTTCCAGAAGGATGAGTTGGGGTTGGAGCCTCCGTTGACCAGGACGTTGAAGCCGTTGACGGCAAAAAAAGCCGAATCCCCTCTCCCACCCGGGAAGATATAGCAGCAGGGCTTGGAGAGCTTGAGGAAGCCAACCATGGTGGGGGGCTCGAGGAGGTCAAAGGGGGACTGGGGCTCCAGCGACTCCGAGAGGTACTCCATGAACTCCTCCAGCCCCTCCATCTCTGGCAGGATGCAGCCCGGGTTGTAGCGCAGCTCGATGAAGTCCTGGAGGTTGTGATGGTCCAAGCCCGAGTCCCTCCACTCCCCAAAGTCGGGGCAGCTGACAGTCAGCCTGGCCTTGGCCGAAGGGTCCGCGGAGCTCAGGATCTCCCCTACCTGCGAGGGGACGGGGACAGCCAGAGCTTCAGGCGGGAGGGGGCACCCAGGGCCAGAGATGCGGCAG